TTCCATGATTATGTTCAATCAGGAAAAATGTTTAAATGTCTCAAACTTTAAAAGAGTGCATGTACTGTATAACTTCCATGGCTCTTTAGAAACCAATCATGAGATCTACATTTTTATTCTTTTGACAAGCTTTTTTAGGCAAGTCAGTATGAAATTAAAATTCAGTTTTCTACATGGATGTTATTGATCGTTATTGTGAACATATCTTCCATGCATAGGTTTCTTTTTAGTATTATTATTTCTTCTGACCTTGTAATTATTAATGAAAATGTCATATCGGTGAAATTACAGACCTTTCTCTGGTGACGTATGCAGAACTTCTCTGATTGGCTAGAACCAAGTCACTGTCCTCCATTTTTTTTTTCTGTTTAATTTGGATGTACGTCACAATCGTGATGGGAATAACAGCGTTATCTTTTTCAGTAACGAGTAATCAAACGAATGACTATTTCCCCCGTTACAACGCCGTTACCGTTACTGACAATAAAATGCAGCGTTACTATAATTGAGCTCACTGAAGCGATTTTCATCTGAGTAGGCTATCTCTCAGTCATAGGACCTGCAAAGTTTTTTTCTGATGTGTGTGTGTGTGTGCGTGAGGAGCCGGACTGGACAAAAGCGAAGCGAATGCCGCGAGAGTGCTCAACAGTGCGCGAGAGAAACCGAGTGTGTCCGAGAGCGCGCTCGAAAGTGCACGAGAGAGACCGCGGGTGTCCGAGCATTATAGTTTGTTTATAAATAAATTACACATTTCAGCATTAGATTAATCTCTAACACGCCTAGACTTTGGCTTAAATAACATCTGATGATGACATTCTCTGTAGGTTATAAAAATAAAACCCAAAAATATTATATATTTTTTTATTATTATTATTATCCAACCTGGAGTCTCCAGAAGTGCTAGGTGTCAGGATCTGAGAGACTTAGGTTAGGTAAAGAATCCTAATAAAAATGCCCCCACTTAATAAGAATCACAAGCTGAAGTGTACTAAAATACATGAAGACTGTTTTTTATAGGCTTCATAGACAGACAGATTGAGAGGGACTCTTGAAGGACCAGCACCACATCCTCGTGTACCACTGTTTGAAGAATTCATCTTCCAGAATCTGCCAGTAAGTTTTGGGCGTTCAATTTTAGTTCATTTTTAGACCATCTCCTACCCTGAAGTCCGTTTTGCAGAGATTAACTAAAAATGAACTCCCAAAACTTACTGGTAGATTCTGGAAGATGAATTCTTCAAACAGTGGTACAAGAGGATGTGGTGCTGGTCCTTCAAGAGTCACTCTCAATCTGTCTGTCTATAAAGCCTATGTCTCTCACATTGTCCCGCAGCAACATTAAAATAGTGTAGATTAGTGTATAATGTTTTATAATAATAATTTATTCTATTTAGTGTCCATTTCATTCATTTAACATATTTAATATTGGGGGCATCCAAGTTATTTGACACATTTGAACTTTTTTTTAAAAGTAACTAACAATAACTAATTACTTTTTTTAAGTAACATGCCCAACACTGGTCACAATACGGGCGGAAAGATATCCAGCTATGTCCGTTTCATCACGGCTTGTCATAAAAATACCAATAGGAAAACCTGATCTAGATATTAGGCTTATTTTACATGTTAAATGCTGTAATAGAATTTCAGGCTCTCCACTCCTGATTCGTCAATGCTACATTTTTTTTTTTGCTCCACTTGTGTTCCTGGGAAGATTTTTCTCACCGCACATCTGCAGTCAGGAACAGGTTTTCCCAGCCACCGCTGAATGTTCACCCTGACCTCTCGTTTCCAGCGGCTGACGGAGAGAGAGGTCGGCGATGTGGCCTGTGATTTTTATGGAGTGATTTAACACTCGGCGGCCATGCTGGAAGCTTGTTAAGGGCGTGCTGGAGCTGCGTTCGGGAATTGAGAGGCCTCTTTCACCTGCTGCTTTATTGGATAGATCAGTTACAGGGGCCGTCCTGTTTGACGAGAGTGTGGCGGTTGTTAAAGTTCCTGCAGTGCAGACCACTTGTGGTTTGGAGAGGTGATCAATCAGGGTATCTCACTCACTTTTTCTTTCTCTGCACTCCTGGCTGCGATTCCCTGGAATGCCAATGAGAGGTCTGGAGTAAAGCCAGGCGGAACCAATGTAGATGATGTCAACAATGGAGCTATGTTTAGAATGACCTTGTCTAGCTTTGGTGGGATTGTAATGCAAACCAGAATCAGGCTGGTGCAGTCCTTTTGAAAACAGTTGGCAATAAGAAATTTTTCAAATTTTACATTTCATACATTCCACAATAATGGTGTCACGCCGTGTTGCAAGAAGACACACGATGAGGAAGATAAGGTATAAAAGGCACAGTCTTTAAAGGGATAGTTCACCCAAACATTTTTAAATTAGCCCATGATTTACTCGCCCTCAAGTCATCCTAGGTGTATATGACATTCTTCTTTCGGACGAATACAGTCGGAGTTATATAAAAAAATGTCCTGGCTCTTCCAAGCTTTATAATGGCAGTGAATGGCTGTTTCTTTTTTGAAGTGCATCTATCCATCAGAAAAGTGCTCCACACGGCTCTGGGGGATAATAAAGGCCTTCTGAAGCGAAGCGATGAGTTTGTGTAAGAAAAATATCCTTTTTTTTTATATATCAATGAGGTACATTTACATTTATACACTTTTATCCGTAATGTCTTTGCACTCAAGGTACTCTACAGTTCAAATGTTTGGGGTCTGTAAGATTTTTTTTTATGTTTTTGAGGGGGAAAAGAAAGTCTCGTCTGCACTCCAAAGCTTTATTTATTCAATCAAATACACAGTAAAAACAGTAATATTGTGAAATATTACAACAATTTAAAATGACTGTTTTCACTTTAATGTACTTTAAAATGTATAAGTATTCATTTCGTTCAAACAAAATAAAATCTTATTGGCCCCTAACTTTTGAATGGTAGTGTGCATATATCTATATATTTCCCATGATCTCTACATTGTTATCCCCATGCATACACACAGCCTAGCCCTGTTTGAGCTACAGGAAACCTATTCATGGTTTATATAAAGGCTAACACCATTCACTTCATTAATTACTAATCTTTTATTTAACCTGTTTAACTAGTCTTGTTCTAGACTAACTCTTGGGTTGGGCTTTTTCAGATGCTTTGATTAAATCTTACTGTGCACTTTTTTTAGTTGATATTTTCCAGTACTGTTTCCAACTGTACAGATACTGTATGAGTACAGATATTTAAATAGCATTACTTATATTTCTTTCTGTTTAGCACTACTTTTACTCATTATCGCTATAACTATTATAAAATGTTATGAAATGCATTGAGGGTTTTTTGTTTTGATTTGTTTTTAAAATTTAGCTGTGACAACGGCAGTCGTTTATTTGGCTAACCGTTGTTCTTCAAGCCACTGTATGTCTAGTAAACATTTCATGTTTTATTGTCCCACTGAACACAAGTCGAGTGTTTGCCTGGCACGTTTAAAAACTGCTGATAAAAGTCACATTCCTCAACACGCCTGGCTGAGAATATTAGTGCTGGCAGCCTTTAGTACTTGATATTTAATGAATATATGAATAGTGAATGAATAGACCAGCAGAACAATACAGTGTTCAGTGTTGTTTGAAAGGATTTATAGTAAGCTGTACCTAAGCTTCTGTAGACACTCAATAATTTTGATGAAAGATTGATCCTAGTTTTAATGTTATTATGTACCGTTGTACGAGTATTCTCATTTGTTTCCATAGCATGTTGGTTATGTAAGTTACAAGAGTAACTCTTTCGAGAAGGAAACTATCTTACCATATTTGTTAGATGCCCGATCCAGTGGAAGGAATGTCAAAGCTTACAGAGACATCCTCACTTGTGCTAAGTGATTTTAAAAGAATCAATCAGGGACTTCCTGTTTTATTTCTTCTTCAAACAACCTATCACTCTTACACCAAACACTACTGGCGTCGGATGCCAGCACATTTCCCACGTATTTGCTCATATTCTGTTTCGGATACGGTTACATTCTGGATGGAGGCATAGTTCACCCTGGCAAGATATGTACTTTACTCTGGATGTCGGTGGTTTCCTAGATATGCACCGGTTCTGAATTCATGATTTTATTGTTGTTGTCGAGTTTTTCCCCTGTTTACACCTGCTTGTGGTTTCATCATTCCCCATAATTTCTGCTTCTGTTCAGCAAAACCGTACTGTTGACAGAAGAGATGATGTTTTCTTGCCATGGCTTGTTGTGGGCGCGGGGGCCTCCAAAACGGCTTCAAAGCCGTTCGTTCGGCTCAATAGCTGCTCCTATTGTTGGGCTATATCAAAGGCAGTCTGCTTATTTGAACAGGTGACTCCCATTAAGTCCGATGACCTGGCTGGCTGTTTGCCAGCAGTGCTGCCGTGGCTTCGCAGAGCTCGTCTTGTCAGAACTCTTAATACCTGATGATCACAGTGCCAGGTCGCAGATTTAATAATTGCTGAGCTATGGCACTCTGCAGGTCTCCTGAGTAATTGTTATGGGAGAAGCTGGGGGCCGTTGCTCACCGAACGCTCGTGGAGGTCAGGATTTCATTTGTCCACTTCCTGTGGGCTCGCCCAACTGGGCGGCTTGCTTCACTTTTAATGAAAACCGTCTACTCGTAAGTCATCAGTATGCAGTGATGGCACCTTATAGGCTTTGTGCCTGAACTCATGATTATGGAAGAGATGATTTCTTCACTTCTGCTGTAAGATGAAACAAAAATGTTCCATACATTTTTCATGATGCATTTGGTGATCAAACTTGGATGTGCTGTCTCATTTGACCATATCATAATTCCTCTCTCTCTCTCTCTCTCTCTCTCTCTCTCTCTCTCTCTCTCTCTCTCTCTCTCTCTCTCTCTCTCTCTCTCTCTCTCTCTCTCTCTCTCTCTCTCTCTCTCTCTCTCTCTCTCCTCTCTCTCTCTCTCTCTCTCTCTCTCTCTCTCTCTGTCTCTCTGTCTCTCTCTGTTGTTTTTTTTTCTTTAGCAGGGAACAGAGGGCTTCTGGAAGTCTGTAGCGCACTATGTGCCCCGGGATCCCTCTGAGATACGGATCCTCAACCCCTTCTTCATACAAGAAGCTTCCTTCCAGTTTATTGGCCTTCCACAGAACAATGGCCTCATGGGTAAAGGGGTAGGCAACATGCTCATTAAGTTTCGGTACTTTTCATAACATTGTTTACATTAAACTCATTGAATGCAAGAGGATTTGACTCTGCTAAAACCAGTAGCTCTTCGAAAGGAACTGTTGGACTGCTCCAGTTTATTGAACTAAAATGGCAGGCAATGCCTTTAGTCAATCTTACGTTAATAGGGGTCACAGGAAGCCTTAGACACGTGTTTCCTCAATTAGCCTGTAATTATTATAAAGATCACCATAGGTCAAAGGCAGCTTAACTAATCCAATGGGTGGGGAGAGCTAATGCCATTTATTTAGCCGAAACCTGGACAAAGCTATGTTTAAACCTTATTATCCAGTGCTAAACATTAAACATTTTAAATCTCAAAATAATACAGCAGGAGTTAAATAAATTAAAAAATGTATGAATCACAATTGACATAGCAAACTGAATCCAGACTTGCAGATTATCCTTATCCAATAATCACAAACAACTGAAATTCAATTTCATTGAAATTCAGTGATTCAAAGAGGTGGGAACCTTGTACAGTTGTGGTCAGAATTATTGCCACCCCTAGTAAATATGATCAAAGATGGCTGTAAATATAAATCTGCATTGTTTATCCTTTTGATATTTCATACAAAAAAAAAATCACAAAAATCCAGCCTTTCACTGAAGCAAAAGTGTGGGGAAAATTACATTGTGAAATAATTTTTCTCTCTAAAAGACATTGGCCACAATTAGAATGTTTTATGAGTAAAATATCTCTGAAGTATATTCCCATTAATATTAATTTTTTTAGCACACTAGGGTGACTAGGAACATGAAATTGTCTAGATGTGACGACTTGTTTCTCATGAGTATAAATCATAGACTGTAAAAAATAGGGTATAAATATTAGGAAACACAAGGCCCATATTCCCTTAATCATCCATCACAATGAGTAAAACCAAAGAATATAGTTTGTATGTGCAGCAAAAGATTGTTGAGCTTCACAAAACAGAAAGTGGTAAGAAAAGTAAGAAAATAGCCAAAGCATTGAAATTCCCCATTTCCACCATCAGGGCAATAATTAGAAAGTTCCAATCAACCAAAGATGTTACAAATCTGCCTGGAAGAGGACATGTGTCTATATCGTCCTAATGCACGGTGAGCAGGAGAGTTTGAGTGGCCAAAGACTCTCCAAGGATCACAGCTGGAGAATTGCAGTGGTTAGTTGAGTCTTGGGGTCAGGAAGCCTTAAAAAAACAGCACCTTAAGTACATCACATGTTGTTTGGGAGGGTTTCAAGAAAAATCCTCCTCGCACATCCAAAAACAAATTCCAGCATATTCAGTTCTCAGACACGACTGGAACTTCAAAAGGTACCTGGTTCTAAGATCAGATGAAAATAAAAAAGAGCTTTTTGGCAGCAAACACACTAAATTGGTTTGTTGCAAACGGGTATAAAAAGTACCCCATGCCCACGGTTAAATGCTGGATCTGTAATGTTGTGGGCCGATTTTTTTGCTGGAGGTCCTGGACATCTTGTTCAGATACATGGTATCATGGATTCTAGCCAATATACCAACAGATAAAAAATCTCTGCTAGAAATCTTATAATGGGGCTTGGTTGGATTTTCCATCAGGACAACGATCCAGAACAAACATCAAAATCAACACAAAAATGTGTGACTGAGCACAAAATGAAGCTTCTGCCATGGCTGTCCCATTCCCCTGACCTGAACCCTATAGAAAATGAGTGGGCTGAACTGAAGAGAAGCAGCGCCAACATGGATCTGGGAATCTGCAGGATCTGGAGAGGAATGGTCTCTGATCTTTTGTCAGGTGTTCTCCAAACTTATCAGGCATTATAGGAGAAAACTCGGAGCTGTTATCTTGGCAAAAGGAGGTTGAAAAAAGTATTTAATGAAAGGGTGCCAATAATTATGGGCAACGTGTTTTGGAAAAATTTCATAATGTGATTTACCCCCACTTCAATTTGTTTACTTCAATAAAAGGTTGGACTTTTGTGAATTTTTTTAATGAAAGATCTGAAGGATCTTTCATCATATTTACCAGGGGTGACAATAATTCTGACCACAACTGTATATAATTTGGCTTGTTAAATTCTACTATAAAAATTTGTCATGAATGCTGTGACCACACTTAGAACACCCCACCCCATTAGCAAACATATTTTATTGAGACATGGGTGTTGGGTGTGCAGAAGCCCAAGGGGAGGACTCTGAATCAGCACTGTCAAAAAAAAGAAGTGTGTGTGTGCCTCAGATCTCAAACATGGACTGTAACAACGAGTACTTGCCTACTAAGAGCTCATTAACAACACACTTTACTTTCAGTCCCAGGAAATTGGACTTGAGAAAGTGGATCAATGCCACTAGCATCATAGCTTGATGAAGCTCTCAGCCATCCCATCATGGCATGAGTACAGACAAGGGTCTGTGTGTGAGCTTGGCCACCTCCTGAAAACTCAAACCTGCTCTCAATGGTGGTGGAACATGTGCAGTGCACATGGAGCAGAGCCCAGGCCCCAAAGGTTTGTGTAGGTAGGGGGGCAGCGCAGAAGGGAAGCTGTCCCATACGGTACTGATCAAGGTGGGATACATTTTTACACAGCCTCCCCCCTTGAGCACTCCAAACACCCACCTGCTTAAGGCTGCATACACTGACACGATCTTAATACTAATCGTGTGTGTGTGTGTTTGTGAACCAGACCCCAGGCCACTGTAAGCTAATGATTTAGAATGGTTGACTCCCCCAGGGATATGAGGAAGTGAAGGTCTGCCTCCTCAAATTGGCCTGTGTCAGGGGTGGGGGTCTGTTTAAGCAAATTGTTAATCACACGCAGCTCAAGATGAGTTAACAACTGCAGACCAGAACTAAGCCAGAACTTCTTCTGGCACAATGCGATCTAGACCTTGAGGAAGAACTGGACCAGAGCAGACCATAGACAGCGATGTTAAATAGATTCAAATACAGCACAGCAAGCATAGTTATTCTGCTTATCAACACACATATACCATATAAATGTCCAGTCAGTTTTCAAATTTTATTTCATTAACCATTCTGATGGATTCAAATGATTTGTTAGACTGATTCATACTGATACCTTCTGAGTTCATGAGTCTTTTTAACTGATTCATTAACAGAACCTGCTTTCATGGTTTTTATGTAACTCTGTAAAATGTTAAAAGAGTGCTTTATGTACGGAATAACGTACATCCAGCCGGTTGTTATCGCTGAATAAACTCTGACAAAGTGATCAGGACCCCGACACGAAGCGGAAAGGGGTCTTGCATTACCCTGAAAGGGTTTATTTTGCGATGACAACCGGCTGGATGTACATTATCCCGCTCATTATACGGCTACTTGCCACATAAGTAAATAATTAGACATTAAATATTGATATGAGGTGAAATATTTTATTAGCTCTTTAAACACAAAGCTTCCTCGGAGAGAGCAGTTGCTAGCAAGTAGCAAGTTCAAACTAGACGGACATTTAAGGGATACGGTATACAGTCGTACCACTTATTACACAGTATTTCACCACATAAATAATTATGGAGATAAGAGAACTGTTTAAAATCTTACCTGTTTGTTATCTTATCCATTACAGTGTACAATTTTTATTTTATTTTTTCTCAAAATGGCAGTAGCTGCATTTGTATGAAACGAGAGAGCGAGTCTGCAATACCGGATGACATAATTAATTAACTGTACACAAAATATTTGAGTTTTAATATTTTAATAGCTCACCAAAAGCAAAACTTCCACGAGGAAAAAACTTTCCTTGCAAGTATAAAGTGCAGAGTCCGCCGACTTCAGTAACCCGGATGAGCCTGTGTTATCAGATTTTACCGGTTGTTATCGGAGAATAACATACCGCTGGATGGAGCGATTGACCAATCAGAATCAAGTATTCCACAGAGCCATGTAACAAAGCATGATAGGATTTAATTTACTATTAAACGAGCAATACATTTTATTTTCTTGTTTCTTATCTAGTCTAACATATAATTTGAATCAATGTTTTGTCATTACTATTCACAAAACAGGCGCAAGATATTGTATTGTGGTTAAGGACATTCGTATTATCTTCTTAGTATCATGCTTAGTACTTGATGGTGAAATTTAAAAATGCTGCTTTATTGTACGTTATCAATTTAAACTTGCATTCTTTTTTTCCATAGAACATTCCAACGTTGGGCACCGTCGCCATAACGATGGCTCTTCATAACTGCGATGAGGTCGCTGTGGCTGGATTTGGCTATGACATGAACACCCCTCATGCACCCTTGCACTACTACGAAACAGTCAAAATGTCTGCCATAAAAGAGGTAACCGTTTTATTTATTTGTTTGTTAAATTGACAAAATGACAAATTAACTTCTAAATTGAAACATTTCTAACTACTGTGGATTTGTTCTTTTTTTTAGACTGAGGTGTTTTAATGCAAAGACATAACATTTTGTAAAGTAAACTGATCAAACAATGGTCTTAACTGAGCTCACAATGTCTGTTTATCTGTTCACTTTATGGAAAATTACAGTGATGTCATTAGCAGAATGTCCTGGGCTACTTGCTGTCCTGTTTCTCTTTTTTTTTTTTCAGATCAGTCCATATGTAGATAACTTTGTTGTTATGTTTTGTAAATTCCTTTTTGCCCACATTTGCCATGGCTGTAAAAGCACACTCATAAAACAGAGCTGTTAACGCACAGTTAGCTCCTGACTGCTCTGGCACCCATCCTTGTCAAATCACAGTCAGGTACCATTCATGCAGAACTCACTCACTTCCTGCTGCCTGTATTCTGTCGGTTTAAGACTTGTGTGCTATGTAATGTCAGCTGAAACAAATGGGATTTATGCTGTTGGCTTTGTATATCTAGTAGCTCACACCTCACACATACTGTAACAGCGTAGGGTATTTGTCTATGTAGGTTTGACATGAGTCTTCATCCCTGCTGTGATGTAAGGGATTCATTACTACAGTACTCTATGACTATTGCTTTCAGTGGTAAATGCCAGGATTACAGTAAAAGGTTGTTTCACCAGTTTGTTGGGGAAAATGTGAAATTTACATTAACGCACTTCAAAAACCTGTGAGGAAATGACTTATAACCTATATAATGTCTCTCTGAGTAGTTTAATCTGTACATAATATATTATGAAAAACTATACATAAACAAACAAACAAAAAACTAACTCTACCATTAAAAACAAGTTTAGGGTCAGTTAGTTTTATTTTTATTTTTGAATGAATGTATTCAGCAAGGACGCATTAAATTGATCAAAAGTAACAGTAAAGTCATAACTAGATTTCTATTTAAAAATAAATGCTTTATATTCATCAAAAAATCCTGCAAGAAATCATGGTTTCCACAAACATATTAAGCTCAAAACTGCTTACAACATTGATAATAATGATAAATGTTTCTTGAGCAGCAAATCAGCATATAATTTGATTTCTGAAGGATCATGTGACACTGAAGACTGGAGTAATGATGCTGAAAATTCAGCTTTGACATCACAGGAATAAATTACACATTACAATTTAAAATAGAAAACAGTTATTTCAAAAAAATCACATGAATTGCGATTGTTCAAATCCGTTTTGAGCTACAGTACATTCATGTGGTTTGAAATCCTATTAAATTGCATTTGATTTCTGACTTTCTCACGGCACTTAAAACATAAACGTCAGACATTGTTAAAGAAAATATGCTGAAAGTCGCTGCAGAAACAAGGTTGTGTTGTTGCAAAGTGCCGGACGAGCAGAATTGACAATATAACAGAGACATGCATTTTGACAGCATGGAATAAAGCCGCGCATACCAGCTTCCTACGGTTCTTCCGCTGCCTTATAAGACGCAGTAGTCCAGCACGACCGCTACTCATTGTCGTGTCATAAATAAGCTAACATCTGTATTGCGAACTCCTCCATGTTTTGGTGGTTGTTGTTTTTTTGGCGTATACCTACCAACGCAACGTCATTGCCATAGAAACCAATGCAAATTTTCCAGAAAACTAAAGAGTGGCATAGGAAACATAAATTGGATCTGAACAGTTGTGTAACACCAATGTGGACAGTCAATCATTTTAGATCAGATTCTAATCGGATACACAAATAATCTTTGGATTTGTACTGACAGTGTGAATGTATACTAAGAGACTTATTTCGATAACTTAAACAAATCCTACCGACCCCAGATGCCGAGAGCTATTTCTTTAAGTATTGAGGCATAAGGAAGAGATTGTTTCAGATTCTCTCTCCCTAAGGCATTTCGGCCTGAGGAGACTCTTAACCCAGCATTCATTTTGGCCTGTGCCCTTTTCTCTCTTTCCGAGAGTGAAACTTTACTCCTGGATCTGCTGGGTTTTTTGTGAATGTGATCCGTCACAAGGGCTGAGCAGTCAGAGACTCTGACGAGAGGCTTTTGGCCTGATATAACGGCCCCAGCAGGCCCAGAACCTCCTGTCAGGGGCAGCTGTGGGGTCGCACCCGTTCGGACCAAGAGCCTCTCACAGGAACCCAAAGCTCTGGTTTCATCCAGCATTGCCAGGCCAGTGGATCCTCTGCTGTGGCGTTCTGCATCTGAAAATCACATTAAATAACAATAGGATATTAAAGGAAAACCAGGGAGGATAGTTTTTACAGGAGTCAATACAGCTCCAGTTCTGATCCCAGACCACACTCAGTCCCTCTCCTGTGACTCAGAGCTCTGTTATTGTTGTAATAAAAGATAGTAGTGGATGTGAAGTGCTGTGGAACTACGAATTAATCTAACTGTTTATCATTTATTGATACTGACCTTCGCTAACCTGCAAATCTGTGAAAAAACAATACTGATCAACAGTTAGCAAATGTCTTTTCAGTATCACTTTAGTTTAGGGTCCAATTCTCACTATTAACTAATTGCTTATTAGCATGCATATTACTAGGATATGTTATTAGTATTTATAAAGCACATATTGATTCCTATTAAAGGTGCAGTATGTCATTTCTCAAAGTCGTTGCTGAACATTGTTGATATTTGAAATCAACACAAACAAACACACCCCTCTCTTTATTGCTCCGCCTCCAAAGCTCACCCTCCAATCCTAACTGCCCTGCTCCGACTCTCCGATTACTGGCATGCGAGGCGGGTGCACTAACATGGATGCTAAACAGTAAACACTGCATTCTCTAGCCAGTCACTAGTAGCTGGCCTTCGTTATGCAAGAGTCTATTTATCGTAGCAGAAGCGCAACAAAAAAATGCCTCATGAAAAATAAAGTGAAGATGATGAATGAACGACAAGGAAGCACAAAAAATGAACATGTATACACAAGAATAAATGCAAACAAGAATTTGTTGTTAGTTGCAACAGCCTCTCCTGTTTTCAGGCCTTCCTGCTCAGCTCTATCCAGCGCTGGAAAGTTTTTCTAATATTAACGCGGTTCCTAAAGCTCTTTCCTGATCATAACCCTTCATTTTTCAGTGTTTGTAATGTCTCTCAGCCATCTCTTTTTCTACAGTCTTTCTTCAAATCTCGCTCTTGCTTGTTCTCTCTCCTCCACCGTCATACACCCCCTAATGCTGAATGGCTACACGTTTGTTGTTGTGTCGGTCCGACCAACTTTCCAACAGTGTTTTTCAAATATCGCTTACCCCACCTTTAATTAGCAGTAATTAGGAGTTTGAGGCAGTAGTTAATAGTTTGTTAATAGTGAGAATTGGATCCTAAACTAAAGTGTGACAGTCTCTAATACAAGTATAGACTAGAGGATCTACATGTTTGGATTTAAATGCAATTTTACAGCAATTGCCCAAAAGACAAAATAAAATGTTTGGGGGCCAGTAATAATAGTGACACAAGACACCCCAAGAGGATACAAGCCTTATTTTTTTTTTGTTTTTTTTTTTATTCCACCGCATGACCTTCTCAAGATTTATTTAAACTATGCGTCACCCTCAGCAAGGTAAAGTCCGAATGATTTCAGGTTATTGTTGTGTGGATTTAGTTCACAGTGTTATAGTGAATGTTCAGTTCACTAATGTAAGCAGCTGCAATTACTTCAAACGAGGCTTTTTAAATTACATTCCTGCATAAATAATAAAAAAATTAATGGCAACAATATTCTATGATGTCACAATTTCTACCAGGCCATATAAGAATAATATCCAATCAATTATACCACTTTAAGAGCACATTCAACAGACTATCAAGGTCATTTTTTACATTTTGGCAAATTGGTGGTTACCTTGTACAATCTAATTTATACGTTTTTCACCTACGCCCCTTTGACAGTAAGGTTTAGGGGTCAACCTTCATGCTTGCATGTTTTAATTAAAATCTGAACATTTTGTACAAATACATTCTAAAATGTAACTTCATAAAAAATGTTTTCTCATGAAATTGGAATGGCGCATTTTACGGAGATAAGAAGGGGGTGGAGCTTAGCAAAAAGAAAAGTTCACAAACAAGAAAAAACTATGATGATTTCACAGGTTGCACATTTATGTCAGTCTCATTGGTTGTTTATCCCATCAATTACAGACAAGATATTCATAAGTGATAATGCCTGAAATGTCATGTACAAGTGAAGTTAAGTGTGATTGGTTGTTTATGATGTGATATGCCCCTTCATATTTGAATGGATGCTTTGCGACCAATTTGAGTTGCTGTATTCACCAAATGTAATGCTAATAGTTCAAATCTTGCTTTGCAAGACTAACATGCTTTGTATAATGAGAATAAAAGGACAGACTGTCCTATCAAGAGTCAGCCACATTCAGTAGGAAATGACACTGCTGTTTGTTTCCCCCACAGTCATGGACTCACAACATCTCAAAGGAAAAGGAGTTTCTTCGCAAGTTGGTGAAGGCCAACATCATCACAGACTTAACCAATGGGATTTGAACCTCCCAAGGTGGGTGCCTTCCTTGGAGGACTTGAAAGCACAGAGTCCTGGGAAACCCTGGACCAGACAACACTGAAGAGCGTAATTTCCGAGGTGGGAGCGATTGCTCAGTTAAGATGCACACGTGCCTTCTTGCCGACAGGCTTCCTCTGAGCGGAACGTTGAAGGGTTCTTCAATATCTCAGAAGTCAATCCTTGTTGGAGTACAGATAGAAGCTAACAGAGACTTTGAGGGGACCAACACAATGTGCTTGAGGAGCAGGTCGAAACATTAACTGATTGTGCCAAATGTACCTCTAACGGAGGAGACGCCCCTCCTCTCCTGCCTGAATGTATTAACGGTGTAAATATCAAAGATTTTTTACAGGCCCCTGCCTTCACACGTGATTCTCCGTCCAGGGCACTCCTGCGTATCCTGCCACAGTGTGTGGAAGGGCAGAGGCAGGTCTTTGATTCAGCCCTTCTTCTGAGCACAGGAGGCTCATTATCTCCTGAATGTGAGCGTATTATGTTACAGCTTCTTTTGTTGAGGAAAGGAGCTCAATATCTAAGTTATTTATTTTGGTGAATAGATGAAGGCTTTTTTTCCCCTTTCTTTTTTGTAAGCCACATTTACAAAATAACTTCTGTTATAAATACACACTACAGTTTACTTGAGGTGGGAGACTGAGTGCCTATTAGGGATGCACAGATACCATATTTTTTTCCAATTTAATTACAAAACCTGAATTGGAATTCCATATTGGCCTGTACCTCACTAGCTTCATAAAAACACAACTTCAATATAATTAAATAAAAAACAGATACATGTATACATATACATATTCTATGCTAGTATTCAAAAGTTTGGGGTCTGTATGAAAAAAAATATTCAGCAAGGATGCATGATATTGATTAAAGGAGGCAGTAAAGACTAAGCTACATAGTTAGATTGTTAAAGGGGTCATAAAATGGTACACGCACTTTTTCAAGTTGATTGTACCGAAATGTGTGTTGGCAGTGCCTGTACACAACCATCCTATAATGATAAAAATCCATCCAGTGTTTTTGTTTTAATCTCCTTATATGTTTTCCCCTGCCTCCAATCGAGCCGTTCGACCGTGTGACGTCACACGGTCGGAAGCCCCTCCCACGATTGTTGATTGACAGCAGCGTTTCAACACAGACCCGCCCTGAGCGAGCTGTCATCATAGTCCGCCATTATTCATACGCTGGAGCAGAATGGCGTCTAAGCGATCGTGGTGTTCTGTTCTTGGGTGTAATAACGAACACAGCAGTGATTTTGATGTTCCTAAATCTGAACCGCAGAAGACGCAGTGGCTGAGTTTTGTTTTCGAAGGGAATATTCCCCACGAGCAACGTCAATGCTTTCATGTTTGCGCGATTCGCGAATCATTTCTCACCAGACTGCTTTATAAACGAGGGTCAGACTCAGTATAAAGCTGGTTTTGCTAAGAAGCTGCTCCTGAATAAAGAATCGCTACCACCTATTCATGTCCCTGCTGCACCTCCAGAAGAAGTGAGTGTAAAGTTTTATTAACCTTTATGTTAATCTTTGCAAATCGCTTGCACGCTTCACGATGAATGCGGCTAAGGTTACACTCAGGGTAACGTTACATTATGGCATGTTTCCTATGTACGACGTTCTCAATGTAATTCATAATCCCACGTTTATAATGAACAACGCGTTATGGTTATTGTGTTATTACAAACTGAGTACGTATACATCAGTAGACGCATAGCGTTCGTACATCTTACTAAGTTACTCTACCCTGCCAGTACACAAAGATAGATCAAAGTGACATTACGTTAACCAACCTTTCAGAAACGTCCTGTTCGAGCCTTAATTGTTTAACTTCTTTTTGGCCGTCATCTTGTCCTGGGTTCGACTCCGCTTCAAACTGATACGGTTGCACAGATGTGTCCTCAGAGACTCCCGCTGCTATTCTCTCTCCAAAATATACCCTCAACTGTTGTCAAGGCAACACTCCACGTGCGTTGTGTCGAAACGCCCGCAGTAAAGAGGGGCGGAGAGTGAAGCTCATTATCATTTAAAGGCATATGTACTGAAACGGCGTGCTGAAAACAGAGCTGTTTTTGACCGGGTAAAATGAGTGTTTTCTTACAATACTAATGAGAATTTTTAATTAAAGTATATTACAAACTTTTCATTTAGACCCTAAAGAATCAAATTAACTTGTATGAAAATGGCATTATATGACCCCTTTAACCTCTTAAGTGTCGCGCCCCCTTTTTTGAATAAACACAAATTAATTATTCATATTTAATATAAAATATATTTTTTTCAAAACCTGGTGGACTCTAAAACTGCAAGAAAATCAAAGCCAAATCTCTGAACAAGTTGCGTTTCAAATTTTAGGTTATCTCAAAAATGAGCTTTCAGTATGATTTTGTTTGGGCACAGTACCAAACTATTTCACTAGGTCACAACCAGACTCCATTACTGCCCATATAAGGGCGCCTCCATTTCCATATGTGTTTTGAGTGATCTGAACCATATATTTCCATTATTTTCATACAATTTTCATACGTAGGCATCCTATTCAGAAGTAGTAAGGGAAGTTTGGCATATTTTGATATGAATTCAACCTCTAATAATCACATAAAAAGAACACGCATGTTCGTTATCATAGGTCGCTGCCACATCACAAATGGTGAATCTATCATTTTTTTCTTTAAATTTAAAACATTTTCAGACCTTTTTTTCTAAAATAATTTAATGGATGTTATCTTTTGAACTATTGGCATGAAAACAAACTGAGGTTTCTACCATTCTTTCATGATTTTCATGTTCATCACTATTTCAAAATAAAGGTCTTAACACGCCTAATGCTACGTTCACACCGGACGCGAATAGCGCGTCAGGCGCGAGTGATTTCAATGTTAAGTCAATGCAAAGACGCGTTACGCGCGTAAAAAATTCCTGCGGCGCGAATGAGGCGTAGAGCGCGGCGCGGTAGACGCGAATACGCCTCATTCGCGCGTTAAGTTCGCGCGAATGGCGTGAATTGAGCGTCTGGCGCGTTAAGCGCGAATGATTTAGTTAGTGCTATTTGTGCATTCACGCGTTTGATGCGAATTCGCGTCTGCCGCCCGAGTTGAAAAATCTGAACTTCTGCGTCAATTCGCGCCGCGTTAACCAATCAGGAGCCTAGCTGCTTGCTGCTGTCACGTGGTGAAGTATCTGGATGCTTCAATAAATTATTTTGTAATATATGACTGTTCTAATGCACAACAAAGCAAATATTTTATCACATAAAACTTGATTTCAATATATGAGACATATTCATTTTGCATTGAATGCTATTTATTCCATATCTAGATTATATGAAATATTATTATAATGTAAAGACAACCAACATATGAGTTCGTGTCTGGACAGTGATGTGTGAGAGAGAGAGAAAAATCACAGGACAGATTAATCACTTTTGGAGGCTGGCTTCATTTATTATCAAAACAAAAATAAATGAAAGATTAGGTGGATGCGGGCGAGGGTGAACCTCGCGCCGGGCTGTAGAGCGCGAGCTCGACAGGCATAGCTAGACCACTCGAGGCTGAGGGCTTATACGGCCTACGCTGTCCTCGTCAGCGTCCTCACCATTAGGTCCACCAAACCTAGCTCCTGGAGCAAATTGTGAAACTCCTGAAACCCTCCGGAGGTTCTGGTGGACCTGAGTACAGCGACGATGTCCCCTACGCAGCTGTTTCTGCTCTCCAGAGCATATACGAGCGGTGACTCTCTCGAATAATGCTAATGCTAATGCTCGATAAACATCTAAAAAGATGGCCGCCAACGGGTTTCGAAACTTTCGCCTCCGACGCGCGTAAATTTCGCTTCGAACTTTTGTTTTTACGCGCGTCAATTTCGCCATTGACACGCGAATTAACACAAGGTGGTCAAGCGTCAAACTAGACGCGGTAGACGCGAATTTGACGCGCTATTCGCGTCCGGTGTGAACGCACAGTTAGGAGTATGAAAATATTCTTGTTGCAAATTGATAGATTACGGCTCTTCTGTAATTTATTTTGAAAATCAAAACACCAAATATGAAAGCTACAAATGATATATAGTTTGTCAATATTAGTTTAGCATAGGATATAACTGTTTTAAATATGTAATTGCTATGGCTACGGTGACACTTAAGGGTTTAATTTAATTTCAAATAAATGCTGTTTCTTTTAAATAGTATTTCACCATATTATTGTTTTTACTGTATTTCTGGTCAAATTAATGCAGATCTGTTGAGCATGAAAGACTTCTTTCAAAAACATTCAATCTTACCGACCCCAACCATCTAGTGCTCTAATCTAACAAACACCCAGTAGCAGAATGCTGTCCTTTTAAACAAAAACACAGACCTCTATACAGATTATGCATAAGAACGGGAACATTAGGACATCTCGGACAGAGTTGGATAATGGGTAATGACTGTTTTCATGAACTTGAAATTAATTACTTACATATCCATCTGTTACTTAGGCTTACATAAAGCTATTGAATGGCTTTAAAGGACTTGGATTATATTGCCGGAAAACTTGCATTAAATAGTTTTTGTCCAAACAGTAACAACCATGGGTACCGCACAATATCGGATTTGGATCTATATCTGATCTGACAAAAAATGTCTGTATCTTTGCAGATACAATCCAGGGGTGCGTTTCCCAAAAGCATCGTCATCAGCGTAGTTCAACAAGTTCTGTGTTTCCCGAAACAATACTTCCAACGAACATTCGCAAACAGCTTCGCAAATTTGTGTGGTTGGAACGACAGCTCGACCTGTGGTTAGAAGCAGTTTCTTGTTTGCAAGACATGTGGACTTAATACATCATTATTTTGAGCCAAATAAGCAATCCGACACTCAGTACAATCTATATCTTTGACTTTTATAGAATACATACAAATGTCATTTACGTCTTTTAGTTTGTCGAGATTTTAAGCACCGTTTTTTTTAAGAGTGCGAACGTGCGCTAGTGAGAACAAGCCTGTGATTGAATCTGGAAATAAAGCTAAATAACTGAGAAAAATAAGAGATAGTCCTCAGATGCCATGTCCGTAATTTATAGCAAAACATCTAGCATTAATTCGGTCTCAAACAGATTCATTAAAATGAGTTATTACTCCACCACCTGCGTGACATCATTAACCGACGTGGTTGAACTACCAATTTGCGACCGTACGGTTTCAGGAAACAGTCATGACTAGCTAGTTGATTTCTTCAACGATGCATCGTACTATGGTAGTTAAGCAGCGAGTTACGTCGTTGTACGGGAAACGCACCCCAGATCGGTGCATAGTTCAGACAGACCTCTAAATCACCTGACGTAATGGTACACTGCCAT